CCGTTACCCCGGCAATAAGGATTCCTGACTGTAATTGACATCGCATTCATTCAACCAAGGACAACAAATCAAGAAGACTGGCAACTCTTCCATTTTCTCATACCGACGATGTATACTTGCATTTATAATGCGCTTCCCGAATTGTAGTGTGGAAAGCATAACCATCAGGCGTTTAACTTAAATAGAGAAAAGGCAAAGATAAAGCCTAAATGTACGCTTCCGTGATATGAAATCAGTATTTGCATTTTGTCCCTCCGTGATTTGAAAACAGATTGTCGAGGGGTTTCGACCAGCGTTAACTGCCGATCAGTGCTAGTCAGATTACCAGCAAAAATTACTCTGATTACTTATCAGTTAATTAAAATTACTTTATTACTATGAAATTCGACAGTGAGCATGTATAATGGCGTAAACGCGATGATCGATTCTCTTCGTCGATTTTCTTTTTTGTTAATAACTCACTAGAATCAACGATTCTTGGTCCGTTTGCTGTTGCTTTTGATAGCCAATACATTCTGTTACAACTCTGCATTGATCAAATTTTGGAAAATTGTTTTGCTTGCTGTAGCAATGCAAAGAGAAAATCGATGAAGAGAATCGATCATCGCGTATACGCCCTTATGCATGCTCACTGTCGAATTACTTTCATTACTCTCGATTACCGAAATTACTACGATTACTTGAATAATTTTAGGAATTACTTTGGAATTACTCAATTATTCCATGATTGACAATGTTTCCAACGATGGCATTGTTAGAGAAATACGACGACATCCAAGCTCGATTAATAAAAATGAGCTGATTAGCAAAATACATAACTGGAATCATGTTCCTAATAAAAATAATAACCATAAAAGAGAGATTAACGACGTGTTCGGGGTATCAGCCAAACCATTTGTGGGATAGTTTATCCATCCGGGATACAGTTCGTTTGTGGTATTTGTTTATTAGGGGTTAAACTCATATTTCAAACTGAGTAAAATGGTAAGGAAATTATCTCAGCAATGCATACCAAACATAATTTGAAAACTGGTTTTCCACAAACAATTTCACGATGGAAGAAAATCGCAAGGAGCACCAGTAAAATACATTGTCAGATTAAAGACAATTTTTCTTATAATTTTTTCATGCTTCAAATCTTCGTATCGTCACTGCTGAACATTTCAAAGGGGTGTCTCTTACCGGTTTTGAATTATGACCAATCATTGGAAAGCTATGAAAATTTAGGTGATTAGAAGGAAAGGGATGCAACCATAGAGGTAACTCTAAGACCAGAAGGTCCCGAGCTCAACTTTTTGGCTTAGCTCTGGTACTATCTTCGGTCCCAAGCTAATCGATGCACCCCTCGAAACATATGAAAATCTACGAACCCCTCATTTTATCTGTCAAACTTTCATATCGAATCAAAACAAACATAGTGTAGTACTGGAATGGGATACGCTAATCGATTTACTTGGGACCAATAGGCTAGTCAAGTAATGAGCCAATTTTAAATCGTTAGTTTCGTATTGATTGTTGGTGCAACTGGCTTCCCGCATAACTACACACTTAATCTAGCTCGGTAAAATCTCCAACAGCCGATTACCTCGGCATTTACTTTTGCTGATATCTCTGCAAATATCTGTTTGTTAGCTTATATCTCAGCAAAATGTTATTTGTTAGCTGAGTCTCGGCAATTGTTTTACTGAATCTCAGCAAAATAAATTGCAGAAATACTCGGCTGTTGGAATCTCGGCGAAAAATTTTAAGTGTGTATGGGAAGCTCCTAACCACCAATTCGGGATATCATTCCAACTTAATGTGTTGTGGTCGTACCATCTATGATATCGTTAGTGCATGGCATCCGTCTATTAGGGTTTGATCGATGCTCTTCGTCGACTTTCTCTTTTGATAACTATGGATTGACAAACAGATGAAGATGGTGATGATAGTGGTCTACCACTCATTCTAGCACGGAAACTAGTCCGATAGCTGTGGGCTCTTCTCACGGTTGAACTTGATCTAGCTTAATAACCTCTGATTGTCATCATTAAATCGCTGAAGGGCCAAAAATTAATGGATGGATTGTATGGTTGCATGATTTTCTGACAAGCAATGCATTAGGTATAGGAAAAACGTGACGAAATGCTTGGAGGTGGGTTATTTTTTCTTCAATTTAGCGTGACATAAATAAATTATGACTCCTCATAAATTTAGCGTAAATGGCTAAAACAGCTTCTACTATAAAATCAACGAAACAATTTTTATTTTCAATTTCTCTGTCTTTAATACTAATTTTCCCTCTCAGCGTGTCAGCATTGTACCTACCATCTTTAGAATTGGTTATACTGGTAATTTTGCGGAGCATTAACATTTAAGCCGAAAAATTAATAAAAACGTTGCGAAACATACATTGCACCACCCTGTTTTAAAAGCACCCCGCCTCTCATTTGACAATTAGGGGAAATTGCTCTAATGTTGGGCTATGGATCTAAGATTGGATCCATAGCTAAAAATCTGCTATTTATCCATTTTATGTAGATGAACGCGTCATTGAGACGGTAGTCATGGATATTTTTGGTCGCTATTGGAAATTTAGTCGATTGCTGAATTTATTCATGGGCCCAAATTAGGGGCATTTAGGCCGACATTACATCCATTTCCCCTATGTTTTGATTAATAACATATCGAGCAAAGGTCTAAGTTTTGCTCAAATTGTAGTGAAATCGGATGTTTTCCGGATAAGTTTAGCAGCCGTGGGTCGATCGAAACATCTTACGTTCGAGGGAAAGGCTCTCTAAAAGAGAAATCATTCGGAAACTTTTGCGATCACATACAGCTGTCGGAAACTTCTTGAAAAAATGGTGATAACTGTGACCGCATTGAGAAACGTGGGAGGAAAAGTAAGATTACACTGGACGATAAACGGAGAATTTGTAGATTTGCAATGAACCAGAAGGAACTGCGGAGTTGGAGCTTCCGGAGAACACACGTCATGTGCAACAAATTGACAAGCAACTAAAATTACTAGGAAAACCCAACTCAATTGGCGTTGACGGCGACTCTGTAGCTCTTTACTCCTATGATAAAATCCATAAGCAAACGTCAGACTGTGCGTGAAACATGGCGAACTTTGTACCAACAATCAATACGAAACTAACGATTTTAAATTGGCTCACCACTTTAGTAGCCTATTGGTCCCAAGCAAACGATTAACGTACCCTATTCTAGTTGAAATTCTATTACTACACTATGTTTGTTTTGATTCGCTATGAAAGTTTGACAGACAACATCAGGGGTGTGTGGATTCATGCAGAACATGCAGGGGTGAGTGAAATAGCTTGGGACTGCTTGGGACCGTTGTTCTGGTACTGAGTGAGCCAAAAATAATAATGATTTTCTTCGGGACCCAGTGGTCTTAGAGTTACCTCTATGGTAGTACCATAGAGGTAACTCTAAGACCAGAAGGTCCCGAAGAAACGAGCTCAACTTTTTGGCTCAGCTCTGGTACTCTCTTCGGTCCCAAGCTAATCGATTCACCCCTTGAAACATAGGAAAATCCAATAACCCCTCATTTTATCTGTCAAACTTTCATAGCGAATCAAAACAAACATAGTGCAGTACTAGAATTTCAACTAGAATGGGGTACGTTAATCGTTTGCTTGGGACCAATAGGCTAGTCAAGTAGTGAGCCAATTTAAAATCGATAGTTTCGTATTGATTGTTGGTAGTACTGGCACAATTTGCGCAAATTACCGAATGTTAAATGAGCAGGAACTTTGGGGGTGCAACACTGATGGTTTAAGGAACATTTTCCTTTCGAGAAAAGCTTCCATTAACGTGGATTTCAACAAAAAAGAAGTCCGAAGAATATATAGAAATGCTGGAGATTAGTGAGTCTTTGGTGGGACCTGATTTAGTTTACCAACAAGATAATGCTGTAATCTACACAGTAAAACCACAAACGAAGTGACAGACGACTAACTGACAAAGAAATCCATTTAAATAATGTGGTTCACTGTAATAGAATTTTCTTGGAAGCTTGTGCCATCTTCCACCAGTTGGGTTAGTTTTTTTGTTTTGATTTGAACAAAGTTGATTTTGTGTACAATGATTCTTTGACAGTGTGCAAAGAGTGCGTATCATTTTGTAATTTTTTTATGCATTTCAGTTTTGAGTAGAGTGAAAGAGATAGAACCAAAACATTCTAGTACATTTGGTTAAAATGCTAGTTCAATCTAGTAGTAGTGTTTCCATGTGGTACAATCCAGTAGTAGTGGTGTTGCCATGTGGTACACTGAAAAATTGCAATAGCAGGTTAGTCACCAAAGTTTTCGAGCCGCTCCGTCTGTCACTTCGTTTGTGGTAAAACTTACTAAGGGGTGGTTTTTTGATAGAAACAGAGGTTCTGGAGTGGCCAGCTTGTTCTCCAGATCCCATTGGTCTATACTTACTTGTCGTGTTTGCGAAAATAGTAAACAATTCGATAACGTAAACATGCTCAAACATCGAGTTCGAGAATGCTGGGAGAAGATTTAGCAGGATATCCTAGAAATCGGATTTTGTCCATGAAACGTGACTAATTGAAGTATCCGAAACAATGGCTTGTACATACATTATTAAGTACTCCTTCAACTTCCTTCAAGTTGTATTTTGAGATATTAAATCTTACTTTGATTAAAAGCTAAGGTGGTGTCGCGCTCTTTTATTCGTTTTCTAATGCTGTAATTTAAATGTTTTGGGACCAAACCAGAATAATTTTACCCTGGTTTGATCCTTAACTAATTTCAGAGCATATTATGAGAAGTAATTTAGATGATGGTTAATTATTGATCTGAAATAATTGGAAAAAAAAACATGATGGTGCTATTTTTGTTTCGCTGAGTGTATAGGATCCATAATAGGCCAGTTTTCCCTATAAAATTAAAAATTAATTTAAGCAAAGCTTTGAACATTTATCTAAGTTACTTGATTAAACGGCAATTAACTAAATACCTTAGAGATCTGTTAATTTGTATCACTCATTTAAATAATATTGCATTCACTAACGACAGCACCACGATATTCACGATAGCAATCACGGCAACTCCAATCGAGGCAATCACCTTCAATTTTTTCCAGCGCTGGTCAGCGTTAATCTGTAATTTGAATGTAATGTATCACTTTTATTAGAACCCTTTAAAATAACATCCCCCCACTAACCGATATGGTCACCATGGAAACGCCGACCAGAATCTGCAGAATCAACGACATAATCAGCATCCCTACGCACACCTGATACACGTCCGACTGTTCCTGAAATTCGGTTAACAACCGAAGCTGGTTGGAATTTGCTGCCAAAAAGGCCACATTCAGAGCATTTTCCACCACATTTCGATACATGTCGAATCTGGACTCATTGTCACTGTCATTGTCGTTGTTATTATTCCGGTCCAAAGTTCTCCGCATTCGGTTGAAGTTTTCCTCCGCCTGCCTGTTGGGGGTCCTTTCGAAGTTGGCCCACTCATTGTCCAAGTGCGGCCGAACTCGGTCTGCGTTTCGATCCCAAATCACCGGATTGGTCAACACCTTCCGCTGCTTTTCATTTCCGGTGAAAATGTGCACCGCCCCGTTTCCGGACTGTTCTACTCGTTTTCCACCCTGTCTGTCCGAGTATTTTGGTGGTTCACAGGAATCGACGGTGTCCATTTTTTTTGTTACTGCACGACGATTGTGGTTGGGATTTCGAGTTAGACTGAACGACGGTTCAGCGAAAAGTGCGATACGATCCGATGGGCTAGTTATTATACTAATTTAATTTGCTTAAGTCGCTGGCGCGCATCATGGCGGTCAATGCTAGGAGGTTTATGAGAAGCGCGAAAACGTTCTTGTTCTGTGCGCATTCAAGTGTTACAATGGCTACAAGACGGAGCATGAACTAAATGGTGATCTGTGCACGTTAAAATGCGGAGTAGTAGTAAATGCAGGTCTTGCATTACATTGCTTGTCGGTTGGAATTTGTCGTATACATACTTCGTTAGATGGTGCTTGGTTAGCTAGTGTTGTCCAGCATTGTCCATGACTGTGATAGGTGTAGGTGCGAGGTCGATTTGCGTGCGGTCGCCTCAAGTGTTTAGACTTGTTTGAGTATTAGAAATTCGAAGAGATGCTCACAAATTACGTACATCAACCAGACGACGGGATATGTGATGCATCATTGATCTCATCTACCATCACTAGCACTCACTCGGTTCCTTCCGGGTCGGGCTTCTGAATCTCTTCTTGTACCTGCACGTGCATCATTCGCTTCCGGTTGAATGATGGCAAGCGATAAACGTTTCATGTAGGTACAAGCAATATTATCGTCTTGATTGTTCATTCCGATAAATCAATTAATTCCTCCATCCTGGGATGGTTCGGTATCAACTTGATTATATTAATCCGTAAATCCGATGCATCTGGTTTAGTCCATTCCACACCGTATCGCATTCCATTCATCTGAAGTTTCTACGACGTCCGTCCGTTGTCTAAAGCTCATCACAAAGAATCCCATCCCAAAGGCAAATGCGCCGTCTTCTTCATGTCTAGACGAATTGGACCGCAGTATCTCAGAAGTACGGCCGACTAGTGCAGACCTGTTGGATATTCTGGATGTGTTCTAAGAACAAGTTGTTTCTTCTAGGTTTCAGTGTTGGTGCGATTCCATTTCTGAACGATAGCATGAGCTATCGTGTGACCGAAGATAATCCCAACGACCTTCCCAATGTGTACCAGCGTTCCACGTCCCGGGTGTCCACCAATGGGAACTATGAGAACAACCTTACGCTACCGTCGGCTACGCCAGTGTACTCCCGAAGCAAGAGTGACCTGAATCTAGCCAGCAGCGATACGGTGAGCAATTCTCCAACCACTTCCAGTGGATATATTGATCCCCGGAATTTAGAGTATACGACGACTACGATGGTCCCGCTGCAACGGCTGACGACGGAAAGTATGCGAAGGGCTGCATCGATTCTGCCACCGATCCCACCGAGATCTTCCCGGGACTATGATAACAGGCTGGATGGACTGGCTCATCGTAGAGCCAATTCCGAATCCAATAATCAGTATGACATTTCAAAGAGCATAGCCGAATCGGCCATGGACATTTCCCTGTTGACAGCGAATGCCAACCAACTAAGGCTTCTGATAACCTACAACCAAGGCTCGCAAACCTACATGGCTTGCATAACGTTCATCATCATGTCGCTGGTTCTGCAAATGTTGGTTGCCGTCACCATGATTATTGTTTCGGTGAGTATCCAAAGGGCAAATTTTCGCCTTAATTTAAATTTGATGATCCACATTCTCCCAACAAACAGTTGATGAAACAAAATCTTTTGGAAACAACCCGTCAGAAGCTGAAGATCATAACCTCGGTTGGAGTGGCGGTTATTACGATGATTAATATCCTAGTGGCGTCGCTGGTGGTGGCGGAAACACCCGCAACGGTCATTTCCGGCGGTGGTGGTACTTTTATGAGGATGGAAACTCTTCCGAACGTTGCTGCCAGTAGTACGACTGCGATGCCAATAACCATGACCACTGGCAGCACTATGGAATCTATGTTGGAAGCTGGCTTCAGTACCGTGGCCTCGAATATCCTAGCCAATGTAACGGGAATGCGATGAAATGGTACCCCTGTTTGTGGTTCCTTTGTGGTGAGCGATCGGCAGTACAATATACTCTCAAAAACTCGAATAGTATTCGCACTGTCGAACCACAGAAGCAAAGGAAACTATTGATTCTCCTGAAATTAACGACAAAGAGTCTTGGTTTGCAAAAATGGTTCGTCCCATTTCTGTTTATGCTCCATAATTGTGTTGAGATTAAGATATTTAAAATAAAGATATTGTAGAAGTTCAAATTATAAGAAATAGCATAAGCGGGGGGCGACCCCGGCGTAGTGGTTAGAATCCATACTTCTCATGCCAAAGTCACGAGTTAAAACCTCACCCCCAGACAAGTCACTAATGACCCAAGAGCGTCAAAGTGACTATAATCCAAAAAAAAGCATAAGCGATAACATGAAAAACGATCAGAACTTTATGAATGCATATAATATTTTCAGGTCTCGTAAGAATGTTGTCGTACACGCGGAAAGCAAGTAAATACAATCTTATTTCAGTTTAAGCCGACAAATTTTTCAGTTTACTATAGCGACAAACAAGTTTCAAGTATGAATTGAACAAACTTTTTGTTAAAAACTTCAATAATTCTTGACTAAAACAAAAAGATATTTCAGGTTTTTTCAACTATGCTTTTTTAAACATCAAATTTGTCATTTTAGAATTTATGTTATAATCTGAGGGGGACGACTCTATCTACGCTGCAGGAAAGATTGTGTTGTGCTGTGGCTAGTTGCTCGCACGCTGAGAAGATAGAAAGAAGATTGATGACGATTCTAAAGATTTCCTGTAGAAAGATGATGCGCGATGCAAGTAGATGTGAGAAATGCAAGAAGATTTATCGAAGATTGATTCGCTAGTGTGAGATTTTTTGAGCATCTAAAATTGAGATTTAAATGTGTCGCCCCCCTCGTTATAACCAACCAAATTAAAAAGGTAGACTGTAACAATTTATAGTTTGAATCCATATCTATTATATCCTATTAAAAAAGGGAACTTTCTCCGTCGAAAACGTCGGCAAACTCCGTCAAAATACACTAAAACTTTCCAAGTCAGCATCTAAAATCTCCACCGAAATCGTTCGGAACCTCCTCCACCGAGAGATTGATAAAACTCCATCAAAATCCAAAGGAACTGTCGTTGACTTCATCTAAAATCTTCAACAAAATCGTTGTGCAAGCCTCCTCCGTCGAAAACTTAAGAAAAATCCGTCGAAATTCACTGGAACATGCGATGGCAGCAACTGAAATATCCACCAAAATCGTGAGGAACCTCTTCCGACGAGACCGTGAGCAATCTCCGTCAAAATCCACTGGAATTTTGATTGGCAGCATTAGAAATCTCAACCAGAATCGGCTGGAAACTCCTCGGTCGACAACGTCAGAAAAATCCACTGGACCCTTAGTTGGAAGCATCCGAAATCTCAACCGGAATCCACTGGAACCCTATTATATCAAACCAATACAATTATTTTATTTTAATTATTATTTTGGTTTGCATCAGGGGGTAAGTCACTCTGCTATTTTGTGTCTGTGCTTATTGTATTTCATGTGTTTTTAAGTTTCCGAAGGTGTTTCTGGGTGTTTCATCGTGTTGACCGACCTGTCAAAATTTCAACCGAAAAATATTGTTCCTGGCAACCATATCCTCAACCATAACATAACAGAGTTCTCCAGATGCACAAAAGTGTGCGTAATAGTACCAAAAATCAATACGAAAATATCGATTTTAAATTGGCTCATTACTTGACTAGCATATTGGTCCCAGGCAAATCGATTAACGAACCCCATTCTAGTCAAAATTTTAGTACTACACAATGTTTTTTTTGATACGCTATGAAAGTTTGACAGACAAAATGAGGGGTTAGTGGATTTTCCTATGTTTCGAGGGGTGAATCGATTAGCTTGGGACCGAAGATAGTACGAGAGCTGAGCCAAAAAGTTGAGCACGTTTCTTCGGGACCTACTAGTCTTACAGTTACCTCTATGATAGTATCGTTAATTCTGAAATCTATTTTGGCAATGCCTGCCTCTTCGTGTAAATTTGTTATTCTAGTGTCGAAAGGACGATCAAGTACCATCCATATTTTAGGTGGACAAAAAGGCGAACTAAGAGGCGGACGCCTGAGCTTTTCCACATTTATATCGCTGTGAAGCAACTGTAAACTCTAGAGGGAATTTATATCTGTAACTGAAACCAGTTCGATTTTGTTTGCCAACCTGGTTAAAATGTCATATTCAATTATCTTAAAGATAAATCGTCCAGCTCAAACCTTTGTAAGGGTAAGAGGTGGGACCATCATCATCATACATCTTGCCACTTTCTTTAAAAAAATACCGAACAAAAGCCCATTATTATGCCGCCATGATTTGCACCGCTCTGAGTGTACGTACCACTCTTTTGTTTACATGTGGACATCTCATTGGCTTTACGTGAAACGCACATGAGTCTATGTTATGTGAAAATCACGTACATTTCATTGATTATGTAGGTGTGTTAAATAAGAACTCCCTGTGAAATTCAAGGGACATCACGTACATTCTATGTGAGCCACGTAAAACTGAGAGGAGAGGAAAAAGTGAGAACTTACGTGATTTTTCACGTAGCTTCAACGTGTAGATTATTTTGAGTGCACATTTAGGGGGGAGGGGGGTTTTGAAAACTGTGACGAGCCATACAAAAAAAAAATTAAGGTTCATACAAAAAATGTGACAAAGGGGGTGGGGGGGGGGTTTGAAAATGGGCCAAATTTGCGTGACATAATTAATGGACCATCCCTTAGTTTGCATTCTCTCTCTTTATACCGACCTTTGCGTCGGTACGGAGAGTTGCGATTTAGCGTAACTTTTATACTATTTAGATTTCAATATTTTTTTAGTGTAGTCTAAGCAGGAATAAGACGTTTCAAGTCAGCTGTTTTTTTTCTGTTTACCTATTTTGACGTTTACCAGCGGGCCGATTTGTTGACATACCACGACCAAAATCAAAACAAAAACATCAGACGTAAACAATAACAATGCTTTGAGCGCGTTCGAGTGGCCCGCCAGGAATTGTCATCAAGACGTCGCGTAAAATAGCTTATAAGCGCGAGTCTTTGACAGCTCAACATCATTTGTTTGTAAACAAAGGTGCATCCTATATCTACACCATAGATTATTTCGGTGTACGGCAGTGTAGCACCGGTGTAGCTACACCGCAAAAACAAAAACGACATAACACTAATGAGCACTTTTTTTCTGCCAGGGCCAAAAGTGCATGGCGGAGACGAACCAGCCCAGGGCTGAAAGTCTCCTTAATAAAGATACGAAAAAAAAGTGCATGTACACATAATCTGTAATTGTAATTCATTGAATTAATGTCTATCAATGTTTTGATTTTGAACTGTGGCAATGCACTGAAAATGCTATATTTTTGCCAAATAAACCTTAACCTTTAATAACCCCGGTAATCAACGATTTTAAGTTTATTGTATTTATTTCAGCGAGATAATTATACCAAATAAAAACAAACACACTCAATTCTGATTTTACGCGATAACCACGAATACAGAAATGCCAACACCACCATATTTTTCTATGACTTTTTTCTGATTGTTTTAAACAAGCTGAATAAAATTTGGTTGCAGTCTGAGATCACATGATCAAAAATGCGGACGAAAAAAAAAAAATCGCACAGAAAAAGAATTGAGTGTACTTGCAAGCTACAGCCGTCTCAGCCTTCCTCAGATTATGTTATGTTTCTGGCGATAACCTTTCTGGGTCAGTTCATCGGAATAAAAACACTTTCACTCAGAAGATTTTAAACGACAGTGCAATATATTATTGTCCAAGCATAGAAATTACTCCTCCGGTGCTTCGCATACATGTGTAATCATATCTTCAATCAGCATGCTGGCCATCTTCTCAGCTTCTTCTTCCTCACCAGCACCTTCATCTCCCGCTCCCGACTTCAAGCCAAAAAAGTTGGTTCCAACATCCTCCGGAATATCGTCCACTTCGTTCTCCGACAGGGCACAGTCAATAACGTTGCTCAAAATGTCCCCAATAATTATTTGACCTTCACTACGTGTGTCCAAATCCGGGGCTTCTTCCAAAGCTACGATCTCAGCTGCTGCCGATTCTTTCCGCAATGTTTCCATCACTTCTTCTGGAACGGAATCCAACGGTTTGAGATCGACTTGTTGGAAAATCGCTTCGTGGGCTTCCGATAGGAGCGGCTTCTGCTTCATCTTGATGTTCTCCCTAGCAACTCTACGGTAGACATCCGGCATCAGCAGTTCGTCCATCAGGCAGGAAGCGATGGTTCCATGGTTCTGAGCTGGTTCGTCGATTGAGTTTATACGTTTGTCAGCTTCCGTGTCGAATTTCTTAATCAGTTCTTGAATTTGCCCGCGTGTATCGTCCAGGCTATCTCCTTCAACTTTCTCCAGAAGAGCATTCTCCAGGTAGATTGACAACTCTTCGTTATCCTGAAATTTCATCTCCGAAATGTGGCGAGTTTCACGTGCCTCACGGAAGTAGCGCTCCTGCTCGGTCAACAGGTAGAACGCATGGGTGTTTCGCTCGTTCTGCAGTCTAGACAGTTCCCGCTCCAGAGTTGTCATGAGGGAAGTCATTTGAGCATGAGTGCAGTTCTCCACGAATTCGTCTAGCAGCTGTTCGTTGCGCAGAATGTGCAGATACTTTTCGCGAACGCTTCCCGTTTTGATAGGATCAATAGGGAAGAATTCTTCTACCACCGGGAGACGATGAGTGGAAATGAGATCTTCGACGAGGTCCCGGTCTGCGGCGTAGTCTTTGTGGATCATTTCCTGTGTGGCACGGCCATTGATCAATTTTTGAAGTAGGACGGCTTGCTGGTAGAGAATATCATCTTCCCGTTCTTCACTGACTCTGGGTGGGGAATCGACGATGCTCTCGGTAGGGGACGATACCACAATCAGGCACTTTGGCATCTCCGGTTTCGTATCTTTCTTGTGCCGAAAATGCTGCAAGAGGGGAATGTTAATCGGGGATTTCCGTTGGAAACTGTTCGACTTACTTTGAGGGAATCGTAAAGCTTTCGTAGGAAATGGTCGGACCAAAATCCTTTTTGGAACTCCCGGCAGACTTCCTTAGGTTTCCACAGTTCTGGACGTTGATTGTTAACATCCTTCATCTTGTGCGTTATGGTGATCTTCTTCTCCAACTTTGTTAATCTGGAATTGAAAGTCGATTTGTGTATTAAGAACACCCCATCAAAAAATAAAATAGCTACTAACCCAACTTCAATCAGATTCGGGTCATAGTTGTAGGATTTTTTACAGAATCCCTTCTTTTGTGTAGCCGCCACGGTAGTTTCCTCCGGTTTCGGGACATGCGGCGAACGGAATTTGTTCGCCTTTGAATCATTCCGTTTCTTCTCCAATTTTCGCATGTTCCGCTCATAGTTGATCTTCAGTTTCTCCATCGCTTTGTTCCTCTGTTCGTTGATCCTGTTCTTGGTATTCTCCATCTTACTCTCGGTGGCTTGCTTCGTGTCCCTCTCACGTTTTTCCATAATCTTCGCTACCAGCTGGAGTCGCAACATTTGATACCGATCGATCTGACGCTCGCGTGCCACCCATTCCTCCCACTCGAAAATCTGTAGAACCAGCTTCTGCTGCGCCCACTCATCCGCTGAATCGCAGCTTCCCACCGAGTACTCCCAGTTTCGCTTCTTCCTTGCACGCTCGATGATTTCCACCTCGTTAATTCCCGGATAGCGCGTATGTTGCAGCATTTCCGCTACATAAACGATCTCAGCCGTACCCAAGTCTGCATCTTTCAGCACTGCCGTCGGCATCCAAGGTTGCGTTTGAGCGGAAGACTCTCGATACATGGTCTGGGACGCAGCATCCTTGAACCGTGGTTCTGCCGATTGATCACAGTGGCAAAACTCCTCCATACTCTCGTTTAGCTTGAGCAACGTACCCGTCTCGCCGGCCGTCGGATGACAGAAGAACTTGGAACGTTCCGTACCGAGAATCCTCGATACATCCGGAACGAACGGCACCTTCACCTCGGAATTTACCTGCATATCGGGGTAATACGGAAGAGGATTCCGATGCATCACGTAGTGATTACGGGTCATCCGGGGCAGTTCACTGAACATGGTTTGATACACCGGAAAGATCCCGATCGGAGCCGATCGACTGAGGGCTGCGTTGTTCGCCCGACAGACATCCTTCTGATCGGAGGCGACGTACAACGGATCGTAGATGTGATCGAATGCACGCGATGGTCCCACGATGTGACTGCGGTAGGTCATTTCGGTCAGAAGGTGTTGAAGAATTTATTATGATAAGACAAATTCCGATGGACCGCACCGACGGGAGGGTGAAAAATTTGAACTGGATCGATAAATAAATAAATAACGATGGGTGCTGTGTTGCCAACGGCAATGGTGAAGGGTGGTAACTTCGCACGTGGTGCTACACGCATCAACAACACCGTCGATACCAACTATAACAACAGGTTGGGATGATGATTTCATTATTATAGAGATAACAACAGGTTGTTCGAAACAATCATCAACATAAACACCGATATTGATCAAATATTAATAGTTACCATTACTCGCTAGTACACCAATTTTTGGTACTTCAGGTCTATGTAAACTTACACGAGTTTTTCAACATCGATGATTTATGTCATATTCGATGCGATAATACCAAATATATGATGCTGTATTGCGGGTTGTCACATAGGCCCATCGTCCTATTTTGAGCCAATCGCTATAGAATACTGAGCACAATAAGTACCTGTAGGTATCTTTATTCACTTTCTTCCCACAGCATTAATATGCACATTTCAAGAGAGTAGGCTGTGCGTGTGATCGAACCTGTTAATGGCTAGCCATTTGGGCTAGTTTAAAGGGATTCTCCTAACCTCTGGTCTAGCCACGGAGATTTTCTGGGGTGGGCTACACTTGCCTCTTTTATTGGCTAGCTCGAGCTTGAAACCCTAGAGCTTCAAGGTCGGCTCCTGGCTTGTCGGCACTGATCAGAAGAACAAAACACCTTTTTATCACTTTTACTCTTTTATTACTTACGATTTCAGTGTCTGTAGTGTGTATGTGTGTGTAGTGCTGGCCAGCGATGACGGGATTCTGCAGCGGGTGGGGTTTTTCGGCGGCGGATGAACGGACTGCTCACGGTGGATGCCAGTACTCGACGGTTGTCACCGTGTGGCACGACGGATGTTGCACTGGGACTCGATCGGGTGATCGACGGTGGTCTCCCAGTGGTCGTCGGTATATAACCGATGGACGCTTGCTACACGGGTGTTGGCGTGTTAACGGACGCCCTCGTGATTTAGCCCGTAATTAATGGGTCCTGACTCTGTATTCGGTAGTTTCGCCGGTATTTGTTGGCGACTCTATATTTTTCACTTCTCTTCAAAACTTTTAAGAAACTTAACTTGGCAGATCGATCTATCTCGCGCAATGGCTAACGTGAAAGAGCACCTTCTCTTCAGTTTGACCCAGTAGCTTCCCCCTTGACCTAAGCCCATTTCCACCTCCCTCCCACTTTTTCACCACCCCTTGTCCATATCCTTCTCTTGTTTCCAACGCCCACCTTCATCCTTACTCCTTACCGTTATGTGTTCTGTGTTATGTGTTGTTGGTGTGACTGGGTTACAATATTTAATTGGATCGTTGGCTTGGGAGTGGTCTTTCATTTGCCTTACATATTTAATTATATTTACATTCAAAACAAGACAATTCTTGCATACAAGAAACTGACATACAGATTGAATTCACAATGAACACACATATACCCTATTCCTCGCTCTCGCTATCTTCTGATTTTTCTCGCTCGAAGAGAATCAATAGGGTACAGGAACCAAAACGGTAACAAACCTGACGTTTGTTTTTTTCCGTGGAGTTTTTTTTATCTATAATCTGTTGCTGATCTGGTCAAACCCAGGCCCAGGAGACAATTTCTAGTTCTTCAGTCCCTATTATTTGCCACTGAGAAGCTGTTCCGAAGACAAGTAGAACCTCCACGAGGCGTCCCATCATTCGTTTCGTCCCATCATTAGTTCCATCATTCGTTGAGTCGCAGCGTTGAACCTGACTATTGGCCACGAAAAGGCTTGCCAATGCACATAAAAAATCGACTACACAGCAAAAAAATAATTTTGATATCACATCAAAGTGGATGCACTACAATCATGTCGAAAATTTCATGTAATTTTTATGACCACATAAATAAACAAATGCAGTAAAAGCAGCGTAATGTCAGTTCATGCATTGTATTAATGATAATTTTGTCCTTTTTAGCAAGTAATATTACACCATATTTTCGACATGATTGTAGTGCATCCACTTTGACGTGATATCAAAATTATTTTTTTGCTGTGTACATACATCCGAATATTTGTTTATCTCAAATCGACGGAAGACATTCCGCGCAACTACCATAAACCGGACTAGTTCATATTGACCTTCGTCAAGCTTCGTCTACAATTTGGACTTCTAGATCAACACATGTCAGCCAGCCTTCAGTTCAATTGGCTAAACTTGGTGAGTTCGTTGAATTTAGTAAATTTTTATCTTTTCAACCCAGTAACGTTGGGAAATCACCAAGGGGTTGGTCACTCGAAACAGTGTGCCAAAATCAAACTTGGGCATACTCGGGTGCAGTCATTGGCGTTCTTTGGCACCCATGGTTACAATTTTTATGATCTTTAAAGTTACTGACAACACTGAAATTTTTCTGCGCCTGCGCAGTGTGCATGTGTCAAAATGTTAATGATGTTGCCACTCCTAGTCAAATTATTTTCAAAACAATCGTGAATCTCGTAAGGATTCTCAAAATCGTTACACCCACGGCAGTCGCATCCACATTTCCTCCCAGACGAAGAACAGCTAACAGCGGTATCTTGACCTGACCGAGGTTTCCGGGCATTGGCTACACGAACTAGCGATACAGCTCCCACGGCTTCGAACTGCTCGAATACATCCATGGCGGTGGCTGCTACACCAATCATTTTTAAACGTTCAACATATAATGGTGAAGGACCGTCTTGGCAAAATCTCAAATACCTAGTTCAACAAATTATTTTTACTCCTGCCTTTTTGCACTTCCAACTAACAGCTTCATAATGAACGGGAGTTTTGTGGATTTGTGATCGATCGCGCTGTGGTTGCACTTCATGATGGCGTTCACTGCCATTGCTACGCTCGGGAACTCGACCAATCCGGAGGAGGAACTTTCCAATTTCAGCAGGAACATTCGCACTTGCGACGGGTGGCAGTCCTTGGTGGTGAATGCAGTCAGCAGCAGATCCTCGGGCGGCATACGGGTGGGGTATTGAAGAAGTGGAGAATACGATTTTTGCTGGCCTGGGAAGCGATTGTTTTGGAAGACCTTGAAGCTGATAGAATTGTCCGGCAGGGTGTACGGGTTGGTGGACTCAGACAAGTAGTTCTGCTTGGATAATTGGCTCGTCCGTTTCGGGTCAGCGGTGCGTCCTTCATCAGTCCGACGTGTGTTCCGGTCGGTGTTGGTTTCCGGTGCAAGTCCGTTTCCTCCACCGGCTCCCAGAAGAGTTGGTTGACTAATGATTTACGTTCGTTGTGCGGGGTCGGCCTTCCGCCGAAGATGGAAGGATCGTGTAGCAACGAAGCTCGTCCGTTGCAGGCATCCTTGGAGATGGCTGAATCCAGTGTGTAGTCCCAACTGGAGTCCATGTCGTTTTTGAAAACATTGAAAAACAAAACAAAAACAAGAGCTGTTAAAATACCGGGTTGCCAAACAAGGCATTATTCACAAGCAATCAAAAGTCAGTTCAATGACTTCTTAGCACTGCCGGTACAGCTGCGGCACAGTGAGGTACACTGAGAAAAAAGTTGGCGCAAAACAAGTGTGTAGAGTGACCACCCCTTGGAAATCACCTTTTTGTGGTGCGTTACTGATATAAGATCAGGATTTTTTCAGTAATGAAAGGATTTTATGACTTGATAATAGTGACAAGACTCGGGTAGTGACCACCGCTGATATGCAAATCTATATTGTATATTGCAAATTAAAATATTGATTGTGTTCATAGAGTTTACATAATCCTTTTCCCTTTGTCCTTCTCCTTTTCCTTTCCCTCTTCTCTTTTCAGAAAGCGAGTAATGGCGCTATAGCCATAAGCCATAAAAGGCTAGGACAAGAGTTAGTGCTCATGTCCCAACCGTCAGAAGAAAATGGAGCATCACTTAACCTTTCTAGCTTTGATGCTTCCAACGACCAACCAATCATATAATTACCAAAATCGGAACGTACGGTACGAGATGTCCATGTTTCATCCTTTTATTGGATTCTGAAGCATCGTGTTTAAATCTTCGATTTAAACAGGCCCGATGTTTTCTGAATCATCTTGCCCTTAAAATGCTGCACAGTAGGCCTGGCCGTTTTGATATGTGTGACGCATCTTCGATGTGAAACATATCTCAAATAGACAAGAAAAATTATGGAGGTATATCCATTATTTTCCAGGATGCTTTCAAGAACTGGCTGTGTTGGTGTTAGATTAGATTAGATTAGATTAGATTAGCATTAAGATGCACATTTCAAGATGCTCTCATCAAATTATGCATATTAATTAAACTTAGTCGGTACATCCCAGTTAAATTCCGAGTGATTCATTGCAGCACAGTCGCTCTCACACACTGTACATCAAATCTTCATACTCATTACTCAGTACATTTCAGATTGTGCAAAATGCGTCCGTCGCCATACTTACTACTAAATACACATACTAAGCAGCATCATCAACGATCGTTTGCAGCAGCCAGTAAGAATCAATCGAATGCATCTCTTTTAGCAAGCTGCTATGCGCACAGTGTTTTCAGTCTATCGACGGCGGTTCGTCACAGGCGAAGTTACGTTCGGAAGTTAAAAAGCACACTCCAGCATATAGAACGAACAGCTGAGAAACGCATATAAACGTTATCAAGTGCGAAACCGCACAAAAAAACAAGTGGTATTGATAAAAAGGAAGAAAAAGAAGGTTTCAGCATTGAAAAGTTTGCTCTACATTCAGCTAATTATGTGACACAGGCTAGAACATCAGTAGTCTCGTGGCGTCGGGTCAGCGAAAGTGCATGCACGTCACTCACTCGTCGCGCGGTGCTGAATATTGTTGTCCCGTGAATCGAAGATTGTGAATCTGCATTCCAATTTGCAGCCATGTGGAACTAATAGGGAATCGCTGAGTTTTGTGATGTGCCGAGCACGGTGTTGTGAGTGAAACAGAAGATCCGGAACCTATTTGATAGCGCATAAACATCAGAAAAGTGAGTGAAGGTTTGAGTCGTGCTTGTCAGTCAATTGGTAGTGCGGCATTTGTATTGGCGATCGCTAACTACCAGCTGAAGAAAAACAACTATTGTTGCGTGTTAATAGGCTAGATGCTAGAGTTCTGATATAATTGAGACCGATTAAATCGTTTTTTTTATCACGCTAACAGTCATCTTTCGCTGGATTGAGGTTATCCGTCATATGTATGATTAAATTCCATTGACAGTTCATTATTGATTAATTAAAAGATCTAGCGGGCTGGCGAGTGGCGTTCAGTGGATGAAGCCACCCAAGTAACATCACGCCCGCTAATGCAAAAAGTGCAATATAATGACTGATATAAGGCTAATATGAAAATTGAAAGCTGTATATCAGCCTTATATTTCAAAAAGGGCCGTTATCGAGCGATTAACGGCTTGCTGGTTACTTGAGCAGTACCAAATATTATAAATTAACAATATTCGCAAGCAACCAACAAGCCAACTAATTGTTTTTTTTTGCTATATAAGGCTGATTTAAAGTATGGAAGCCCTATATTAACCTTATATTGCAGAAAGGGCGATTATCGGGCTATTAGAGGGCTTGGTGATTACTTGGGTGGTCCACTTCCCGACTTCCCATATGTTTCTAAAAAGACGCGTATCTGGCTGACAAAAATCTGTAAAAAAATTTGTATAACTTCTATATTATGGTCTCAGTGCGGATTTACGTAAATCTCCATTGAGCAAATTCATAGTTCAGAAGGAGTTTGTTTAATGTTCAGAATCATGAAAAAATACTAAAGTTAGCTTTCTAAAGAAATAGTCTATTTTAAAAAAATTGAAATTCTACAATCTTGATTTTGTGTAGTGTTTCGTATCTCTTCTACTGTCTGAAAATACAAAACATTAAGTACCAGTTGTAAGAGACAAATCTGTTTCCGATTTAAAATTTGCTTTATGAAGTAACTATCACAATTCCCTAGAATTTGATTTATTTACGTCTCAGATTATGCAAACCTTTATCTGGATATTAGAGATAACACAGAACTTTTACAGGAAGTTTAGTCGAATTACATGCAATATTCATAAAAATATCCAGTTGATTCTTCGACTCACAAACTGCAACCAACCACTATGTAGGTTTTATAAAATGGCTTGTTTACCGAGTTGTCAAACATATATTTAATTAACCTTTGTATCTGTCACCATGTGACATGGTTAATTAAACAAATAGAAAGGGAAACTAATATTCCTTCCAACGAGAAATAAAAACATCTGAACATCAGAAGTCCATTCAAAAGATTCCAAGTTCTTTGAAACTAAAACAATAATAATTTATTTAGTGAAAAATACGATTCGGGTTTGATGCTCAGATTGAATTCAAGCTGCCTAAAAGGAAGAAACGATTATTTATCAGAATTAATAAATATATAAAAAATAAAAATATATTCCTTTATTTGAAATATCGGAAAAATCTGTATATTTTTCAAAAATCTGTTATCTGTATATATAGATATCTGTATCAAAATATTGAAAAAAATCTGTATGATTACAGATAAATCTGTATATGTGGCATCACTGGCATATGTAGCTCCATTAACTCACTGAACATTGTTAGCAGCGAGGGGAGTAGGTATAGATGAAAAATTTGAAGCAGGGGTTATATCCCAAGTAACAATTTTGGTTTTATGAGGGTTCTGTAGACCATGATTTAGACTTGTAGCATACTTCAAAACCTCGATAAAACTTACAATGTTACTTGGGATTTGTACCTACGGGTACGAATGTAGAATTTGTTCCTCGCTGACCGTTGTTAACAGCAGAGTAATTTGTACCTGGTCGGAAACGTGGAGCGTTTCCTACCTGTCGCTTAGTCGCATTCCCAAAAATTGGATTTGTGGTTTTCACCACAATTTGAACATTTAAATTTCTTAGGATCTTCCTTCACAGGACAGTCGTCCTTTGCGTGAGAGGAATCACCACAATTCATGCATTTAGCTGGCATGTAGCAATTTTTAGTTCCGTGACCCCATCCCTGGCACTTACGGCACTGAGTGAGGTTTTGGAAATTTCCTCCAGTCTTCCTGAAGTGTTCCCACTTCACTCGGACATGGAACATAAGGCTAGCTTTTTCTAAGGCCTTAAGGTTGTTAAGTTCACTAGACTTGAAGTGAACTAAATAAAAATCATTAGAAATCCCGTTGCGCCAATCGCCAGGACGGGATTTCATTTTCATTTTGATTACTTGGAGTGGCACAACTCCAAGTAATTTTGCCAGTTCATCTTTGATCTGATCCAGGGATTCACCACTACACAGTGGTCCAGAATACAGATTTAGGTGGAATGATATGTTTTGAGCCTGAAATTGAAACTTTAGCTAAAAGTCTCTTCTACAAAGTTGTTCCTTATAGTTAGACCCTCATTTTTATAACAATGAATTCTAGGGTGGTTCTTATTATCATTAAAATAAAAAATCTAAATTTTTTGTTTGAATAAATTAGGGTATACTTTCTTTGGCAAAGTTATAGCTGAGCTAATTTCAAGCAACTTTGTTCAAAACAACTTTTTTGTATCTCTTAAATTGACCGATTTAGAGCTATTTTCTTGAATTGAGTTAGGGTGGCGCTAAAAAAAACAGTTATTTTGATCTAGTTTTCTTATTTCAAATTTCTCAGCAAAGGTGTCTTGAAATGACTTTTAGATCTTCAGATGGCGCCATACGCCCTTTCAAATGCCGTATAAAAACTTTTTTTTTGCCCCAACCAGAGATATTACCATTTGAAAATGCATATTTTTAGTACAAAAACGTCAATAACTCTTGATCGGCGAAAGGTATTGACAAGCTTTCTGGAGCAAAAATTTGCGCCTTTTAAAGATCTAAAAGTCATTTCAAAGCACCTTTGCTGAGAAATTTGAAATAAGAAAACTATAGCAAAATAACTGTTTTTTTAGCGCCACCCTAACTCAACTCAAGAAAATAGCTCTAAATCGGTCAATTTAAGAGATACAAAAAAGTTGTTTTGAACAAAGTTGCTTGAAATTAGCTCAGCTATAACTTTGTCCAAGAATGTATACCTTAATTTATTTAAACAAAAAAGTTAGATTTTTGATTTTAATGATAATAAGAGCCACCCTAGAATTCATTGTCAAAAAATGAGGGCCTAACTACAAGGAACAACTTTGTACGAGAGACTTTTAGTCTAAAGTTTCAATTTCAGGCTCAAAACATATCACTCCACCTAAATCTGCATTCTGGACCACTGTGCACTGGGCAGTTCTTTCATGACAACCTTGAACACACGTTCAGTTTTGATGTCGTAAGTAAAAAATTTGTGCTGCTTCTCAGTAAGATACTTGAGAAGACATTTAAATCCGTCCAAGGTTTCAGCCAATATTCGGCATTCACCCCGACGTCCAATTTGTAGTGAAAATTTAACTTTCACGAAATCCAAAAGTTCCATGCGAAGAGCATGGAAATCGGAAGTGGTTATCACAATAGGGGGAATCTTTTCCTTCTTGGCATTAAGCCGGGAAAGTTTACTATTTAGAATTTTTCTTGGATGATGGTTCATTCTCATCATCTGTGAGCAAATCAAATTGATTACTCAAATTAATTTCATCAGAAGGGGGATCAAGAGTTTGCCCCTTTCTTTTTCTGGCGGCAGTAAATTTTTATCCAAATCGACTTCCAAGCAGATTACTATAAGAATCTGAAGGATCGAAGAGGAATTTTCCAAATCGATATCCAAGAAGGATTACCTCGGGTAGGGTCCAAACAAGGATCGAAGAGGAATAAGAGTTGAACAAGGTAGAACATTTTTACAGGTTGAGCACTGAAAAGTGCTGTTTAAATTTGTTGTAGCTTTAGGTAGTAGTAACACTTCTTTCAGCAAAAAGCAAATAGATCCGCACGGCAAGAGAGCACGATGCGGACTGATCCACGAACCCCTCATTTTGTCTGTCAAACTTTCATAGCGAATCGAAACAAACATAGTGTAGTACTGGAATTTATACTAGAATGGGGTACGTTGGTCGCTTTGCTTGGGACCAATAGGCTAGTCAAGTAGTGAGCCAATTTGAAATCGTTAGTTTCGTATTGATTGTTGATACTACCTACTTGCCTGATACCTACTTTACCTACTTGTATAAGGTTGAAATACGGCTTTCAGTTTTTATATTAGGCTTATATTGCACTTTTTGCATTAGCGGGCTTGATGGATACTTGGGTAACTACGTCTTCATGATTTAATATATTGCAATATAAGGCTTATATGCGGCTAATATAAAGTTTAGCATGCCCTATTTTAGCCGTGTATCAGCCTTATATTGTTAAAAAGGCGAATTAGCGGGCTTGTTGGTTACTTGGGTACTTGACTAGCGTATTGGTCCCAAGCAAATCGATTAACGTACCCCGTAATAGTCGAAATTCTAGTACTACACTATGTTTGTTTTGATTCGCTATGAAAGTTTGACAGATAAAATGAGGGGTTCGTGGATTTTCCTATGTTTCGAGGGGTGCATCGATTAGCTTGGGACCGAAGATAGTACCAGAGTCAAGCCAAAAAGTTGAACACCTTTCTTCGGGACCTTCTGGTCTTAGAGTTAATTCTATGGTATAAGGAGCATCTTTAGGTTAATTTCGAAAATATTTAAAGGGAAATGCTCCTAATTTGGGCCAATACATAAATTCAGCAATCGACTAAATTTTCAATAGCGACCAAAAATATCCCTTAGTATCGTCCCAATGACGCTTTCATCTAGATAAAATTGTTAAATAGCAGATTTTTAGCGATGGGCCCAATATTAGATCCAAAGGCCAACATTACAGCCATTTCCCCTATATGAAATGTTGAAAACATACATAAACGATTACATATAAGGAAGGTAGATTGAATAAAAGTAATACAACATCCCGAAAGTTTTCTGAGTTCAAAGATAGCTTATTTCCACCGAAACCACAACTCCAGAATCTGGGTGACCCAAAAAAATGTGACCCAAACTCGTTGACACAACTTTTTTATATATATTAAAAAAAAACATTTTAACACGCAACATAATTGCTTTTCGAAGGTAAACTCCCCCCAAGCATAGGAGTCATATTTAATCAACTTTCATTCCAACACTCAAGAAACCAAAATGGCCAAAGAACAGGAAGATTTTCTCGAAATGAACTCCATCAGCGCATCGCGGGTCGAACCTCCGAAACAAACCAGCAGCCGTGCGTCCGGAGCCGAAGCCACGAGTCTACTGATGGTGCCCCACAGCCACAGCGAAACGGAAATCGACGGCGGCCGGCGAAGTCGCGGTCAGCAAACTCAAACGTACGATATCCACAAAGGCATCGCTGCGAGTGCTATGGACATATCGCTCCTGACGGCCAACGCCAACCAGCTGCGACTGCTGATAACCTACAACAACCGCTCGAAGACGTACATTGCGTGCATCACGTTGGTTATTGTATCGCTGGTGCTGCAGGTGCTGGTCGCTTGTGGTGTTATTATAATTAAGGTAGGTACTGCAGTAGCCAAACAAAAGAACTAATCATCCATGCGGATTGCGCTTTCAGAGTCAACCGAAATCGAAACGTACTAAACAGATGGAACGATTGAAAATTGCCACTTCGATAGGTGTAACCATTGTAACTGTCATAAATATTCTGGTTGCATCACTGGTGGTCACAGATGGATCACCAGTAGTAGCACCAACTTAACACTTGCTCAGAAACTTGTCATTCATTGTAAACGCTTAGCTTGAGAACGAATAAAACAATTCCATAGCATCGAATCGGTTCATCTTCATTGATCACATTCCACCCACTTCCGTATGAGAGCGGGCAATTCAATGCTATAACATCATAACAATATGGTTCAGTACCCATCAGTCTACCCATAAACAGCTTGTGAAGAAGTTCGTCTTCAGCACGCATATTTGCAAGAAGATGGTAAGCCAGTCCATCATGATCACCGAAACCAACGGCGGGAAGAAAAATTCGAAATCGCCAACCCCACCCACATCGGATCCACCTTCGCCGGGGATCCCGGCCACCAATGGGTCAGTCTACGGAAGTGCATCGGAGTACAGCTGGAGGTTCAGCTACAGCAACTACGATCTCTACCGAAGTGTGATCGAGATTGCTCTGAATGTGTCGTTCCTGGCTGCTACCAGCAACCAGCTGCGGTTGCTGATAAGCTTTCGAGAGTCGCAGGATTTTATCGTCAGCATGACTCTGGTCACTCTGTCGCTGATGATGCAGCTTTTGATTGCCATTATTGTGGTGACCATTGCGGTGAGTTGAGATATGTCAGTTATTCCGGCTGGGAGACGTTTTTAATATGAGTTACATGTGTTTCAGGTTAACGACCATTACCGATGGATTAAACTGAAGGCATTCACCACGATGGGAGCCATTCTGCTGACGGTGGTTAACGTTGTCATTCCGTTTGTAATCAACGCCGAACATTCACATGTGGATTTCTCCAGAATATATCCACACTGATGATTGAGAAATATATTAGTTATTATGACTATGTTTCATTGCTGTATAAAGCCTAAATACATAGAGATAACTCTAAGACCAGAAGGTCCCGAAGAAACGTGCTCAACTTTTGGGTCAGCTCTGGTACTCTCTTCGGTCCTAAGCTAATCGATGCACCCCTCGAAACATAGGAAAATCCACGAGCCCCTCATTTTATCTGTCAAACTTGCATAGCGAATCAAAACAAACATAGTGTAGTACTGCAATTTCGTCTAGAATGGGGTACGTTAATCGATTTGCGTGGGACCAATAGGCTAGTCAAGTAGTGAGCCAATTTAAAATCGTTTGTTTCGAATTGATTGTTGCTCATAGTGTGGTAAGTAGCATGCATGATAGAAAAAAGAGAAGTGAAGTTAAGGGGTTTCGCTGTGAGATCCTTATTCTTGCTACCACTTCGAAACTTTAAGTGCAGAAATATCAGCTTCCACAAAACGTACTACAATGAAACTGTTACTCCACGTTTGCTGCGCTGCAACATACATGCAGTAGCAATTTCAGGTGAAATGAGGCTCTAATTTCCGAGGTTTGTATAATTGAAAATTCGAGGTGCAAGCGCATTTATAGCCTACGTGGCGGCCATTTGTGGACTCTACAAGGAATCAGCTTAAACGATGCGATTGGATTTGTTCAAAGGGATTACCGTCGGCCTCTCTTTGTTGGTTTTTGTACCACGACAATTTATGTTTGGTTTTCGTCAAACGTCACTGACCAAACTGACCGTTACCAACTCTGCTCCTGGGTATCATGGGTATCCAAAATATCCTTATGATATTTGTTTTAGACTCCAGCTTGATCAATTATCATTCTGAAGATCTTAAACTGCCCAACAATTCAAATCACATCTGGAGATATTCTTATTTATTCGAAATAACATCATGTGATAAGAGATCACCTTGAAAACCTCAAGATATTTTTTTCATATATTATGGATCAGGTGATCATGTATCAGATATCCAAGTATTTCATAATCCAAATCGCTTCTCTCATATGAAACACGACATCTGAGAAATTATTCCAATGTCCTTTATGTGTTTAAAGAAGATCCATAACGTCGACTGGATATTTTTCAAGACTTCAGGTTGATCAGGCTCTATTGTACTGAAGATCTCAAACTGTTCATTTATTCAAATCACATCTCTCGGATATTCTCTCATGATGCAAGGTGGGTCGGAAAATATGCGAAAGACCATCAGGTGATCAGAGATCTTTGTTTACTAGGCTTCTGGTTGATCAAGTTTGTTGGAAGAAACTTCCAAGGGAAGATTAAGTTAACTTAAGAAGGTTAAAAACATGTACATTGGTCATATGAGAGATGAAAGTATTTCAGAATTGAATTTTTCATCGCTTGAAACACAGTTCTAGAATAGAACTTTAACGCAAAGCAAGAGCAAGTGATCGGGTAAAATTCATCCCAATGCGTTTTTTTCTAAGCAGAATATTTTGCGTCAGAGCTGTTATTAGGCGAATGGTAGACTGGCCCGATGATTCTGAGGCGGATTGTGCAACCATTTAATTGAAGATCCGATGTAATGATGAGAAATGTTGAGCTTGAATTAGGAGATGTATCATGTCTTGTTACACGGGCAAACCATCGTTCATTTGGTTAGTTCATTCCTGTTTATTTATTACATCTGTTTCGGTACCTTTTATCAGTTTTATGCAATTTTGTCTTAGACATCATTTCGATGAGCCGCTTTCGTGGTAAGATTTGTTGAGAAATATCGAGTGCGCATGAGTGGGAAGTTCCAGCACAGATTTGCCCATTGGTTCATTCGGCAGAGAGTGCTTTGTTTCTGGTTTCTGGATTTTAACCTTGTTTGAAAATATTTCGGAAAAATCTTGAAATGGTCTTTGTATCAACAGTAGTACAGCAGGAAAGTAGGAGTACAACATTATTAAATTAGAGAGATTAGAGATCTTTCCGTAGAACTACGTCTTTGTCGACTATACTGGGGTGCAAATCAAAAAATATGTATGTTGAAATAGTGTTTGGTTGTGAACACTTGTAACTTTGTCATTTAAAGATGAAATTAAAATCCAAATACGCCAATCGATACGATATTACATTAAGAATCTGCTAAAATAAATATTTTATCGATTTTGAATAAAAAACTGTTGAAAAATGTACAAATAATAATTTTATCACTGTTTTTTTATGAAATAAACGTTTTTTCCAAACCCAGTCGTCATAATCGAGTACCACTTGGTTGCACACTGTTGGCCCAGGCCATCATCATCAAGCGCACCTGCGCTACAAGAACACAACAGCTCCAAGCTATCATCTCCTTCGTCGCTAATTATGGACCGTGAAGCCATAAAGATCGCCAACTGGAACGCTCGCTCCGTAGGGGCGAAAAACATTGAGCTTGCAAACTTCCTCCGCAAGCACGACATCGACGTGGGCCTTCTCACAGAAACCCACCTCAAGACCGGTGACAGCTTCTGGCTGCCCGACCACAGCATTGTCCGGTTTGATCGCACCAGCTCCAGGGGGGGCGGTGTCGCGGTCATCATCAAGAAAGGCATCAAGTACTGCACCCTACCCCACTACCGCACTTCCATCATCGAGGCCGTCGGCGTAGAGGTGGAAACATCGACCGGAAACATCCGGTTCATCGCCGCCTACTGCCAACGGCAATGTACCATTAGCAATGGTACAGCACATCAGTTCAAGAACGACCTTGCCATCATAACCCGCACCAATGCCCGCTTCGTAATCGGAGGGGAACTGAACGCCCGGCACGAGGCCTGGCGGAACTACCAGCATAACCAGAACGGCCGCCTGCTATTCGACCATTCCCAGCATGGTCTCTATTCCGTCTGGTTTCCGGATGAACCAACCTTCACATCACCGGCGGGCAACCCATCGACGCTGGACCTGTTCTGGGCAAACACCGGATTAGCCAAGCCGGTTGCCGTCAACGACCTGAGTTCGGACCACCAACCGGTGCTGACCGAACTGGGCTGCAACGTGGGCCCTGCACCGTGCCTGCGGATGGACTACCATCGAGTCAACTGGGTCCAGTTTCGGCGCGTGGTCGACCGCCACATCGACGACAACCCACCGCTCGACACAGTGGAGGACATCGACCGGGCCCTGGAGGGTCTCCATCAAGTCATATCCGTGCCTGACGAAGAGTGCGTTCGACGAGTTCCTGTGAGGGGTAAGTTCCAAGCAATTGATTCCCACACCAAACTCTTGATTCGGCTCAGAAATGTTCGTAGACGCCAGTTTCAGCGGACTGGGGATCTGCAGCGTAAATACGAAATGGTCGATCTGAATCGGCAGATCGCTTCCAGAACGAGAACGAAAATTTCGGGCGGCTCGTTCAGAACCTGGACGATCGTTCCAGACCATTCTGGAAGGTTGCCAAGGTGCTGAAGTCTCACCCAAGCCCATTCCACCACTTAGAGTCAATGACGAACGGCTTATCACCAACGAAGAGAAGGCCAATGCGATTGGGGAGCACGGCGTGATCACCTTGACAACCAGCAACAACAACTTGGGCCCTGTGCAACTTTGACTGTTCATACTACATAGACAGTTTGGAGGGGGGGTTGGCAATTATCCACGGCCCATACAAATTGAAACAAAATGTATGGACAATTGTCTACGCATGGAAAAAATTAAATTTAACCACATTATCTCATGCGTAAGATGAACGGTGGTCTAATTATGTTGAATTGTCGCGAGTTTTGAACCATAACCGAAACATTAAAATACTTGAAAAATTTAAGATAAAGTATAATAGTCAAAAATGTATGACATATATCTTTCGTTTTACCGTGTAAGCCCAGTACAAAAAAATACCGAACAACTAAATGCTGGATTAGTGTGTACATCAATTTTGCGTAGTTCTACGTCATACTATCCCAACAAACCATTTGAACTGATTAAGAGCTGAATAAGCCATGTTTTAGCTGAAGAAGCATATTTTTGCTTGAATAAGCAATTATTCTGCGTTCAATGTTTGTTGGGATGGTCGTGTCACAACCTTTTATTTTTTTCCTCTGTTCGGGACCTAACATCACTGCGACCAGTAATTTGACCTATTGAAGTATATCCCGTGTCCTTAGTTTAGTGCATGTCGTATTACTCCATCACTATTGAGAAATGATGAAGTATTCGATTTTTTTACAGTTGCCACTCTTGCATTTATCGCAAGGATCCGACTCTAATTGAAAGGTCCCGCTATTTAAACCCTTCGGAGTGTTGAAACACCCTCCAAAGGCGCGCCCCTTTGTCAGTCAAAATTGGATTCCTTAGCAACAAAATTAAGGTAGGACACCGATAATGACCATGCATCAGAACCCTAGTATTAACCACTTCAAACTAGGGAACAACGAATAGAAGATTAGGAATCACATAGATAGAGACTAACTAACTCATTATTTTCTTGTTTCAAGATCATCCTCAATCTGAGCAACTCGAGGACTTATCACTATTAACAAGGCATGAAAAGTAACAAGGACTACGATGAGTTCCTTTGATTACTGAAAAATTCTGTTCCCCTAGTTTGAAGTAGTAAGGACAAGGAATCGGTGGTAGATCTTACATCCTGTAACCTACCACGAAAAAGTGATCTACCCACGTTACGTTTGTATGTACTAAAACGAATAATGTATTTTCGTTCGATTTCTTTCACTTGAAATCTAGGCATCATCTCTTCATGTTCAGCGTTGAAAAAAAAATTGCGAGTTTTTATAAAGTTCACAAAACGAAAAGTTTGCGAGTGTTTGTGAGTTTTCGTGAACTTTTCCATTTCATGAACTTTTTTTAAATTGATTAGAGACCCACTTTTTCTCAGTTTTCATACAAGAGAGGGTTCCTTCCTCCTTTTCCCTTCTCCAACGTCCTTTTATTCCATTCTCCTCTTTTCAGAAAGCGAGTAATGGCGCTATAACCATAAGCCATATAGGGCTAGGACAAGAGTTAGTGCTCATGTTCCGACCACTAGAGGCAAATGGCGTTCCGTAAAACGGGGTAACATTGATAGTATTTTAAAGTATATTCTAAATATTTTTTACAGCAATGAATGTTTCAAATTTTGTATTTGTAAAACAAGTACTGAGCTTATTCGTTAGTAATATGTTGAACCAAAATTAAAGCATTTGCACTATTTTTTTTAGTTTTGCGACCGAACTTCAGTATTTTGTTTTGGGGTTACTTTGATAATGCTCGCACACTAATCCAGCATTTAGTTGTTCGGTATTTTTTGTACTGGGCT